TATACAAATATATATATATATATATATATATATATATATATATATATATATATATATATATATATATAAACAAAAGCAGTCAAAAGTTCCAAGGTTAATTACAAGATTACATATTCAAAATGTGTCATTTGACTTATAATATGCAAAAAATATGTTCAAATACTCCATTTAAAGTCAAAGAGCTAAGCTTTTTTCACAGAATCTGTAGTTTTCTGTCACTTTTTGGATGTAGCAAAGCGCCTACAGATCTTGGTTGTGTTTACATTTTCTTCTGTCACTGGCCATAATTATGTCCTTGAAATCAGGATTAGTCATATAATAATGTCTTCAGAATCATTCATACATGTGAAAATTATGCACGCATATTAGTAAATGTACCTATTAATACTAAATGACACATTAGTACCTTTTGAAAGGTTACCGCTCCAGTGACTGCTTTTGTACCATTTTTTCTGCAGGCTTAGAGCACATAACTCCACATATTACTGACAGATCAATCTAGAAAATATGCCTCTATTGAAATGGTTAAAATACTAAAAATATTAAATTCCTGTCAAAAACCCAGAATGCATTACACATAGTTTTAAAACATGACAGTGTTGAACGCAAATTATCACATGCAATCTTTGTGGGAAAGGTTGAAGTAGATTCTAGTAGCATCTCGTTTGTGATGCTCTCTAGTGCCAGTTCAGTTTTTGCATAACAGTTCATGAAGAACAATTCTGTTTATGGAAAATCCATGATACATGCACAAACATGAGGAACACACCCGGAGAATTAAATCTGCTGGAATGACAGATGACTCATGATAGAGGTTAGATGTTTGGTTTGGATGATTTTAGGTTGTCACACTTTTTACTGGGTGTGAGATGACGGTTCCCACAGTCCTGAAAGACCTGGAAACATTTCAAATGTTGATTTTTATGCCATCAGAGTAATCAAAAAAATCATATAAAGTCATGAAAGAATCACGTATAAGTGGAAATATATGCTTAAATTCAAAGGTTTTGGGTCAGTATGATTTTTTTTTTTTTAAGAAATTATTATTTTTCAGCAAGGATGCATTAAATTAATCAAAAGTGACAGTAAAGACGTTTATAATGTTACAAAAGATTTCCATTTCAAATAAATGCTGTTCTTTTGAACTTTCTGTTCATCAAAGAATCCTAAAAAAAAAAATTTAGCATGGTTTCCACAAAAATATGAAGCGGTACAACAGTTTACAACACTGATAATAATCAGAAATGTTTCTTGAGCAGCAAATCAGCATATTAGAATGATTTCTGAAGATCATGTGAATATATATATATATATATATAAACAAAAGCAGTCAAAAGTTCCAAGGTTAATTACAAGATTACATATTCAAAATGTGTCATTTGACTTATAATATGCAAAAAATATGTTCAAATACTCCATTTAAAGTCAAAGAGCTAAGCTTTTTTCACAGAATCTGTAGTTTTCTGTCACTTTTTGGATGTAGCAAAGCGCCTACAGATCTTGGTTGTGTTTACATTTTCTTCTGTCACTGGCCATAATTATGTCCTTGAAATCAGGATTAGTCATATAATAATGTCTTCAGAATCATTCATACATGTGAAAATTATGCACGCATATTAGTAAATGTACCTATTAATACTAAATGACACATTAGTACCTTTTGAAAGGTTACCGCTCCAGTGACTGCTTTTGTACCATTTTTTCTGCAGGCTTAGAGCACATAACTCCACATATTACTGACAGATCAATCTAGAAAATATGCCTCTATTGAAATGGTTAAAATACTAAAAATATTAAATTCCTGTCAAAAACCCAGAATGCATTACACATAGTTTTAAAACATGACAGTGTTGAACGCAAATTATCACATGCAATCTTTGTGGGAAAGGTTGAAGTAGATTCTAGTAGCATCTCGTTTGTGATGCTCTCTAGTGCCAGTTCAGTTTTTGCATAACAGTTCATGAAGAACAATTCTGTTTATGGAAAATCCATGATACATGCACAAACATGAGGAACACACCCGGAGAATTAAATCTGCTGGAATGACAGATGACTCATGATAGAGGTTAGATGTTTGGTTTGGATGATTTTAGGTTGTCACACTTTTTACTGGGTGTGAGATGACGGTTCCCACAGTCCTGAAAGACCTGGAAACATTTCAAATGTTGATTTTTATGCCATCAGAGTAATCAAAAAAATCATATAAAGTCATGAAAGAATCACGTATAAGTGGAAATATATGCTTAAATTCAAAGGTTTTGGGTCAGTATGATTTTTTTTTTTTTAAGAAATTATTATTTTTCAGCAAGGATGCATTAAATTAATCAAAAGTGACAGTAAAGACGTTTATAATGTTACAAAAGATTTCCATTTCAAATAAATGCTGTTCTTTTGAACTTTCTGTTCATCAAAGAATCCTAAAAAAAAAAATTTAGCATGGTTTCCACAAAAATATGAAGCGGTACAACAGTTTACAACACTGATAATAATCAGAAATGTTTCTTGAGCAGCAAATCAGCATATTAGAATGATTTCTGAAGATCATGTGACACTGAAGACTGGAGTAATGATGCTGAAAATTCAGCTGTGCATCAGAGGAATAAATTACATCTTAAAACATATTCAAATAGAATATTGTTATTTGAAAATGTAATAATATTTCACAGTATTACTGTTTAAGAGAAAGGACCGCAGGCGCTTAGGAGGCTATAGTTCTCGCCCTGGAACGTCGGTCAGAACGTAGCACAGGAGGCAGGAAACAAATTGAACAGCTTACTGAATTTTTTTCAGCAGCACAGACATACATTAAACGGTATAGTAGTTGCAGCATGCGGTTACCCTCTTGATTTACTTTGTGTGGCTGCAAATACACAAAACAATACTAAATGTCACATAGCACCATTACTGATACAGTTTTATCAGTTGAACATAATGTTTAGCACCATACAAAGCTTAAACAGGCAAATTATAAGTTATAAATCACTATTCCTTACATATGAATTGGTACAGGACAAAGAATTATCTGTCTCAATGATACAGGAACAACACTCAAATCACCTACAAACACTGTGCATAATAATTCTGTACTGACGTTCATTGTTTCCTAATGACAAGGCATGACTCATCATTTTTCTCGAGTGGATTCATGAACCAATTACGCAATGATTTCTAAATCTACACATATATAATCAATCTCAAACAACTAAGGAATAATATAAACTCACTTTTCTCCAATGGACGCACACAGTTTTAATAATCACCACCAACACTGCATCGTGACTTCTGGAACCGTCTTCTGGTGGAGCACGACTGCTCATCACGTGCATAATCGTTTTTTGTGCATCCGCCAATGACCACTAGAAGGCGCTTTTGCGCTACCTTTGTAACAATTACTATTTTTTACTGAAGTTTTGATCAAATAAATGCAGCCTTGATGAGTACAAGAAACTTAAAAAATGTCAAATGGAATGTTTTACAGTATTTTTGCAGCCTTGAGCATAAGAGACTTCAAAAACATAAAAAAGTTTTCCAAAGTGTATATATTTTTCAGCTATGCTCAATTTTTAGTATTTCACTCTGTAAAAAAAATTCCTCATCACATACTGTAAAAGTCATGGAGAAATTGTGGAAAATAACTGGTCAGACCCGTCTGAAAACCCAAACGTTTTGAGTTAATATAAACCTTTTCATTTCAGAAAGATCAAGAAACATTAAATGTAATATTCAGTTTCTCATTTTTTTCATCCCTGTCTTTTGCATATAAGCTCACAGTTATGAAGTCTTATAACCTGCTTTAAAATGATCACATATTCTGCCTTTTTCTCTTTTTAAAGGGCGCTTGATATGTAAGATGTATCCAAAATTAAAGTCAACAATAAAAGTCATTCATCTCTGAAGTATTTCTCTCCCTCAGATTGCACCCAGGAGGAATTTGCTGGTTTATTAGAGCAGTTGTGTAACTGCGGGATCTCAAGCTTACATGTTAAAGGTAAGACACCTTAAAACGCACATTAATGGTGATCAAATGAAATTGTCTGGTAATGACAGTTTTTTCTTGTCTTTTCCCCCGTGTGAGGTGTGAAAGTGTCCTGCAAGGCGGGTCGGTTGTACTCGCAGGGGTCTGTTCTTGCTGTTTCTGACCAACAGAGGGGGCGAATCACTGAGATACTGAACCACAACAAGCTCTCGTGTTCAGCTGAACAGGGGCGACAGGTGCATGGAGGTACAGTACACACACATACACACACGTTAATGTTATGCTATGCTCTTATGGAAGTTCAGGGTATATTTTGGTCTGAAATAAGTAACCGTGTGTTTGTATGTGTTTGCAGCGGGGTCATCGGTCGCACTTGTGGTCGCAGCGCTCCTGCTGTTTGCACTGGGTGCTGCACTGTTTGTCTATTTGTACAAAAAAAGGTGAGGACAGATCAGTTTGTGTGTGTGTTTTGCATGAAACTCTCTGGTGATTCCTCTAGGTTTGGGCTGTCAGTTGATTAATTAAAAATGTGTGCCAATTAATAAATAATTTAATAGCAAGATATTGTTGTTCTTTTAAGTATTAAATGTTTTCATTTCATTTAATAAATTGAATCAATGTACTATTTAAAAGCAGTTCAGCTTTTTATTTAATTTTGAAAATAAAAATAGTACATTGAATTTCTAAATATTAAGTCATTTTTATTTAGGTCAATTAATACATTTAAATTAACATCAGTATGAAGTTTAAAAATAGTTCAACTTATTTTATTTTTTAAATATTAATTAATTTTAATTTATGCCAAATAATAAATTGAATTAATATCAAGCTACAGTAAAAAAAAATACTTTTTTCTATATTATTTTTAAATATTAAAATGTATGCAAATTGATATCAATATACTGTTAATATTGTTCGACTTAAAAAAAAGTTATATAATTTTTATTCATCCCACTTAATAAATTGAATTAACATCAAAATATAAAAAAAATTATTTAATTGTATTTATGCCAATGAATACATAATAATATCAGTATAGTTTACAAAATAGTTTATTTTAAAATATTAAATACATTTTATTCATGCCAGTTAATTAATTTAATTAATATCAATATACTGTTTAAAAGTAGTTAAATGTTTTTTAAAATATAAACTAATCACAAAATACTTGAAAAATGGCACATTTGAGAATTTTTTACACTTTTAAGACAGAGTACAGCTGTAGTTTTTAGACAATTAATGCAGTAAATCCACAGCATTCTTTTGAGTACTTTGGAGTAAATACTGTGCTACCATGAATATGGTCATCACTCTGTACCATCTCATATGGCATGGTATTACACTGTTCTAAGAGGACTTTATAATGCATTTACAGTCTTTGTTTTGGGATCAGCCCATTTGTAGGATGAACGTGTCCTTGTGCATCTTTAGCATTTGAAAAAAAAAAACACATATTATACTAAAACATGTTTCAACTCATTATGTGTACATGATCTTTTGGCAGGCGTCCTGCTGACTACCTCTCCATGCACCTGAGCGAACAGGCCGAGACGCCGCTGGAACTCTAGTGTGTTTGTATGAGCGTGCATGTGAGTGTGGGTGAATTTTGGTTGTTTGTTTATTATGAAGCTGAATGTGTTTTTACAGTTTTATCAAAATCTCTTTAATTATGCAATGTTGATAATCCGAAGATTTTATTAAGACATTCAGGATGTTTCATTTCTTTAGTGTGTGAATCAAATTTTCCAAAAATCATTCTTTTATTGAATTCAAAGTGTATTTTTGTTTCATAATGTGACTTTGAAGTACATACTCATCAGTTAGCAGTAAAGACTGTAAAAAAACAAAAAAGTAGAAATCAGCAAACATTAAATATGTGACACTTACCATAGTAAGCATACGCGTGATGCAAACATGCCACACATCATTATGTCACTCGAGGTACAAATTGTTGTTGACTTTAATCATTTCAAATCATAATTTTCAAAAATAAAGATTCATTCCACAATAAAGTTCAAGAGATTTTAAACCTTAACGTAGCAACACAGAACAGAATCTTTCCTCCTTCATGATTCTTTCTGCAGGTGTTGTGTTTATTTTATGTGTTTACAGAGTTTCTTTTATGCATCTGCACAGTATTATCAGTTGTTCTCAGGGTCGTCAGATCAGTGTTTGTGTGCAGTAAAGAGCTTCTGACCACAGACACATTTCTGTGTAGAACTAGTGTGCCATTACGGTAAGACAGAGCAAAACACATTACTTAAAGTTCACTGTTCGCGCAATTCATTTCCATTCTCAGTTGTTAATCTTATTAATTGTTAATTAGATATTAGAGTGTTCTGTCACTTAATTGTAATCCTAGGATTGCTCATGACTCTGAATTGTAAGGACAAGTCAGAGAGTCTGCTTGGCTTTTTAAAGACGTAGAGCAGAAAATCCCCACACAGGAAATAAAGGGTCGAGAAGACGAGGTATAATGTTGATGACTATTTTTGTCAGAGTAGAAGTGTAGAATTGCAGTGTGTTCCATTATGTTCATTTTGAAGGGTATTTTTTATTTTTTTTTGCATTTTGCGATTTTTCAAAACTAAAATACAATTTGGCAATTTTGCGTTCTCACTGGTTGCTTATAGGGTTTTAATGTAATTGATTATTGATTTAGTCTTTCATCATTGATTTTGATGATCTTATGTACATTTGGCAGAGGAAATTTTCTAAAATAATACAATCACAATAAATGTTTCTTTTTGTTAATATTGAATATATGCGTGTGTTTATTTAATTGTATTTATTTATTTATAATATATGCATTACCATTCAAACGTTTGGTTTTATATGATTTTTTTAAAGGGGTCATATGATGCGATTTCAATGTTTCCTTTCTCTTTGGAGTGTTACAAGCTCTTGGTGCATAAAGAAGATCTGTAAAGTTGCAAAGACTAAAGTCTCAAATCCAAAGAGATATTCTTTATAAAAGTTAAGACTCAACCACACCTACCTAAAACGGCTCGTTCTAACACGCCCCCACATGTCTACGTCACTATGTGGGAAGATTTGCATAACGCCGCCCAAATGTTCACGCAAAGAAAGAAGGCGTAACTTTTATTCTCACTGTAGTATTGTTGCTGCCGCCGCCATGTCGTGAAGGCACTGTGTGTTTCGTTGTGAAAGCGAAACTACTTTGTTTGGTCTTCCAAAAGAGGAGGATATCCGCTTCGTCATGCCTAGAGCTGATCCGTGCTGGTCGCTGAGGAAATACATCAACTTTGCGCTGTGGATCACCGGATCGGCTTTCACCGTGGACGAAGCGGAGTCCAGCCCGGGGTCGTCACATGTGGCTGCCGCAGGCCCGCCGGACGCTTCTTCGTCGAATCTGCCGGCCGCGCCGTTTTCAAGCCCGCCGCCTCTGCTCACTCAAGGCTGCCGTGTGACGCTGTGTTTCATTGTGAAAGAGAAACTACTTTGTTTGGTCTTCCAAAAATGGACACGACTAGAAATCAGTGGTTAAGTTGTATTTACAACACTGTTCCAGAACACTTCAACCCAAATATTCAGATGTGGGCTGGAAGACTGTTTCCTGATCCTGGGAGAGTAGACTACAATGCCGGCTGTTCTGACTCACAGATTGTAAGTAAGTTTTTTATATTTAAAGTGAGTTTTTTGAGCAGTGTAGAGTAGCACTGTTGTTTGTCATTTCTCCGATCACAAATGTAGACGTGGTTTTATGTTTACGCGGCGCGATGCAACGCAACACATAAAAAGACATTATAAGTCATTATAATCAGTAATTATGTCCCCACTGGATGCAACAAATGTCTCGTTTATAATGGGTTTTAATGTTTTTGTCTCGTCGCTCCGGCCGGACAGGGCATCATCACAGTATGGTGAGGGGCGGAACATTTCCTTCACACGCTTTAGGAATTCGGCCAATCACAACGCACTGGATAGCTGGCCAATCAGAGCACACCTCGCTTTTCAGACTGATGAGCTTTGTAAAAATCGACGCGTTTCAGAAAGGCGGGGCATAGAGGAGAAACAATAATGTACAGTATGTGGAAAATAATATGGTTTTTTTTACCTTAAACCGCATAAACACATTTTATTACACCAAATACACAAAATAATGTTCTTTTTAGCAACATCATTTGACCCCTTTAATGATTGTGGAAGTCTTTTTTGCTCACCAAGGATGCATTTATTTGAACAAAAATACAGTAAAAACAGCAATATTTTGAAATATTATTACAATGTAAAATAACAGTTTTCTATTTGAATGTATTGTAAAATGTAATTTATTTCTCTGATGCAAAGCTGAATTTTCAGCATCATTACTCCAGTCTTCAGTGTCACGCGATCCTTCAGAAATCATTCTAATATGCTGATTCTTATTATTATCAGTGTTGAAAACTGTTGTGCTGCTTCATATTTTTGTGGAAACCATGAAACATTTTTTTAAGGATTCTTAGATGAATAGAAAGTTCAGAAGAACAGCATTTATTTGAAATAGAAATCTTTTGTAACCTTATAAATGTCTTTACTGTCACTTTTGTTCAATTTAATGCATCCTTGGCCCCAAACTAACCCCATATTTATGTATTTATTTATTTTTAGAGGTCTGAATCATTGTGTCTCATTTGTCAGTCAGATTCTCTCTTTTCTCTTCCTGTTCTTTAATCAGCACTTCCTGTCCTGTCTGTATCGGATGCATCTTCTTAAGGCAAAGGCACACATATAACAGCCTAAATTGACTTTTACTGTTTTTTTCCTGTATTGCATATGCATTTTTTCCACACATGCATGACCTCAGGCTGTCTGTGTTAATTTCACACAGCTGTACTCGTGTGAAAATACGTGTTCTTGTGTTGTGAGTATTTGCACAGTCCAGTGCTTTATGTAAAGCGAGCGTGTGGAAGCGTGTGCATGTGTATGTATGTGGTTTTGTGCACATAAAGACAGCATGTCAGACGATGCTACACGTCAAAAGTGCATCTGTGGCCTGCTGCACAGGAAGAGAAGGAGGTGCAACAGGAAGGATAGAAAGAGAGGGAAAGAAAAAGACAGACGGTGCATGACAGAGACACTCAAACAGAGAAAGTATCGAATGGAGGATGAAGATGAGGTCTGAGAGAAGTAGAGTAGCGAGAGCAAAGGTTAACAGATGCCAGTGAGACTTCCTGTGCTCAGAAACACACATGATGCTCCTGTGTGCTCCTGTGTTTGTGTGTTTGGAGACTCCAAATCTGAAGACCAACGAGATCAACGTGACTCAATCAACAGTGAGTATTCGCTTTCATCATCAAGCGTATTAGCTATATTTTATATTATATATATTATAAGGTGTTTGTCTTTAAACATTAGCCATATGGAGTTCATTGCTGGTTTTTTACCTTAAACCGCATAAACACATTTTATTACACCAAATACACAAAATAATGTTCTTTTTAGCAACATCATTTGACCCCTTTAATGATTGTGGAAGTCTTTTTTGCTCACCAAGGATGCATTTATTTGAACAAAAATACAGTAAAAACAGCAATATTTTGAAATATTATTACAATGTAAAATAACAGTTTTCTATTTGAATGTATTGTAAAATGTAATTTATTTCTCTGATGCAAAGCTGAATTTTCAGCATCATTACTCCAGTCTTCAGTGTCACGCGATCCTTCAGAAATCATTCTAATATGCTGATTCTTATTATTATCAGTGTTGAAAACTGTTGTGCTGCTTCATATTTTTGTGGAAACCATGAAACATTTTTTTAAGGATTCTTAGATGAATAGAAAGTTCAGAAGAACAGCATTTATTTGAAATAGAAATCTTTTGTAACCTTATAAATGTCTTTACTGTCACTTTTGTTCAATTTAATGCATCCTTGGCCCCAAACTAACCCCATATTTATGTATTTATTTATTTTTAGAGGTCTGAATCATTGTGTCTCATTTGTCAGTCAGATTCTCTCTTTTCTCTTCCTGTTCTTTAATCAGCACTTCCTGTCCTGTCTGTATCGGATGCATCTTCTTAAGGCAAAGGCACACATATAACAGCCTAAATTGACTTTTACTGTTTTTTTCCTGTATTGCATATGCATTTTTTCCACACATGCATGACCTCAGGCTGTCTGTGTTAATTTCACACAGCTGTACTCGTGTGAAAATACGTGTTCTTGTGTTGTGAGTATTTGCACAGTCCAGTGCTTTATGTAAAGCGAGCGTGTGGAAGCGTGTGCATGTGTATGTATGTGGTTTTGTGCACATAAAGACAGCATGTCAGACGATGCTACACGTCAAAAGTGCATCTGTGGCCTGCTGCACAGGAAGAGAAGGAGGTGCAACAGGAAGGATAGAAAGAGAGGGAAAGAAAAAGACAGACGGTGCATGACAGAGACACTCAAACAGAGAAAGTATCGAATGGAGGATGAAGATGAGGTCTGAGAGAAGTAGAGTAGCGAGAGCAAAGGTTAACAGATGCCAGTGAGACTTCCTGTGCTCAGAAACACACATGATGCTCCTGTGTGCTCCTGTGTTTGTGTGTTTGGAGACTCCAAATCTGAAGACCAACGAGATCAACGTGACTCAATCAACAGTGAGTATTCGCTTTCATCATCAAGCGTATTAGCTATATTTTATATTATATATATTATAAGGTGTTTGTCTTTAAACATTAGCCATATGGAGTTCATTGCTGGAGAAAGTCTATTCTTTGAAAACACAATCTTACAAAAATTTTTACCATGGTAAACATTGTTACATTAATTAATATTACTGTTGTAAAATTATAATATCATGTGTGCATTTTTTTGAAGAAAACTTTTTAGGTGCTGCCTCTGCAGCATATATCTTGGTGTTCTGGTATATGGTGTTCTGAGTGGTTACTAGGGTATTTAGGATGGTTGTTAGGGTAGTTACTGGGGTATTTAGGATGGTTGCTAGTGTATTCTGAGTGGTTACTAGGATAAAGGATGGTTGCTAAGGTATTCTGAGTGGTTACTAGGGTATTTAGGATGGTTGTTAGGGTATTTAGGGTGGTTACTGGGGTATTTAGGATGATTGTTAGGGTATTCTGAGTGGTTACTAGGATAAAGGATGATTGTTAGGGTATTCTGAGTGGTTACTAGGATAAAGGATGGTTGTTAATGTATTCTGAGTGGTTACTAGGGTATTTAGGATGGTTGCTAGTAGGGCTGGACGATATGGCCAATTAGTTATATCATTATATATTTCTTAATTTCGGTCGATACGATATCATTCCGATATCGATATGAACAGTATTAAAAAAGCCTCATAAAAACGGCCACAACAGATGTCTGTACCTACAAACTTATGAAAAATTAATTTGCGCGGGAAACACTGGTAATGTATATCGAAATATCGGAAATGTGTTTAAAAATCATATCACCGTTATTGAAAAAAATTATATTGCGATACATATTGATATTGAATTATTGTCCAGCCCTAGTTGCTAGTGTATTGGGTGGTTATTAGGGTATTTAGGATGGTTGCTAGTGTATTGAGTGGTTACTAGGGTATTTAGGATGGTTGCTAGGGTTTTCTGAGTGGTTACTAGGATGAAGGATGGTTGCTGGTGTATTCTGAGTGGTTGATAGGGTATTAACGATGGTTGCTAGGGTATTCTGAGTGGTTGCTAGGGTATTCTGAGTGGTTGATAGGGTGTTCTGGTTCTCTAGATTTAAAAGTAAATAATACTTTAGAATTGTCTATAATTATCATGGTAGATATTTGTAAGGGTTTAGTCAAT